CTCATACGAGAATTGTATTAAAAGATCACTGAAGCCAGGGGTGGTGGCGCAGCCTGGGCTACAAAGTGAGCTCAAGGCCAGCCTGAACTGCATAGCGAGACCTTGTCTCAAAAAGATCAAAAAATAATTAAAGATAACAGGATAAACGAGTTAAAAATAAACATTTTAAATGATTGCACTGTATTTTTTTCATGATAACCGTATTTCATGTCTTATTCTGTGGACCTGATTTCACTGTATATAGCTGAGAAATGCAGACATGGCTTTATCAGTTACCATTTATCACCACCATCCACGAGGAAAGGTTAACGATGTAAGTGAGCGTTTTAGTAAAAGAACGCTCAGCATAGGCACATCACACAGAAACATGAGGTGATTTTGTTTCGTATTGCACGAGATTTTTTTCCAGAGCTTTTTCTGAGTTGTGGCCAGAATGAATCACTGGAAGGGCAAGGAGGGCATCAATCAGTGTACCTGAATATTACTTAGAAACATAGGGTAATTTTCTGTTTTTCAAGTACTTACTTGCAGTACATAATGATCACATTCATCATGGGGAATTGGTACATGGTAAGTGTTTTTCTAAAGCATTTTCAGTCTGGTCTAAATTGTGGTTAAAAGGAATCACAATGGGGAGGGAGTGCCCTCCTTGCGCTATCCGTAGGCAGATACGCTGCTGAGGATGCGGACCCCCGCCAGAAGGGCTATTGCTCAGAAATTCCTCCAGTGGACCAGGGGTCAAGACCTTTTTATTTGCTCAGCAAGTTATTCTTAAATTCTTATTACTAAAAACTGCGCTAACTCCAGGGAACCAAGCTTTTGAATGAACCTATTTAGAATCCTTGTTTTTCACATTTGTTAAAGTAGTAAATTTGCTATGTAAGACTGATACCATTATTTTAGTGCAGCTCTTACATACCAGAAAACAGTCTCCTCCCAAAATTCAAAACATGACTGTAAATTGTTTTGAAAGATAATATGCAGAAAGAGGTCTCTTTCCCTTTCTCCGTCTAGTTTTCCCGATTTTGTAGTCCTAGAAACGCACTGGCTTAAACATCTGGGATGAAGCCAGGCCTGATGCTGCCAGCCTGTAATCCCAGCACTTGACGGGCCGCAGGGGCTCCAAAGTCGGAGGCCAGCCTGGACTGCACAGTGAGACCCTGTCTCAACACAACAGCTGGGACAGCGTCTGTTTACTGCGATCGCAGAGCTGACAATGGCTGTCGGCCTCGTCCCCCACCACGGAGGGGGCCCGCGGCCACCAGCGACGGCGGCTGCAGTTCTGAGCCCTGAGCGTCTGCCCTCTGCCGCCTTCTTCCGTCTGCTCGGTCCCCTTCCAAACCGCGGATGTCACATTTTGGTTCGTTTGGAGCCAGCCTTAGCAGCTGAAGAAAAAGCAGGCATTGGACCCGCATGGGAGGGGATCGGGGTCCGAGGTTCTCCGCACGGCCCGCGAGCTGCGGGGTCGGGCTTCATCCGGCGCCTGCGTCCGTGAGTCCGTCCGTGCGCGCCGGGCGTCGTCCTCGGCAGAGGGCGCTCACGGAGGAGCGGCCGCGCGGGCGCCCGGCTGTCCCGTCCCCGTGACACTGCCCCGGGCCACCGTCACCCTCCGCGGGGCGGGCCGGGTCTCCTGCGCTCCCGAGACGTTCGGGGTGTAAAACACCCAGGGAATTCTCACCGCCTCTGCTTTCACGACAGCGGTGCCCGGTCGACCTTCCCCTTGCGGGCCCCCGCGGCCGGGCTCAGGCGTCTCACACGCCGGGAAGGAACGGCGCGGGAGGGCCGGCGGCGGGCCGCGCACTTCCAGGCGCCGATTCCCACGCTCCGCCCCCGCCGTGCCCTATCTCCGTACTGCCAGGCCCCACCTCGGGATGTGGCCGTTGTCTCGCGTTTTGATTGGCTGCGCTGGAATCACATGGACTTGCCGCAAGCGCAGTAGTTCCTGAGCGCCGATAGGCCAAGGGCGAAGGGGAGGGGCGCTCTGGTGGGACCGGTGTGGGGGGAGTCCCAAGTGTTTAGGATCCCAGACCCGGACGCGGACCGGGACCGGGACTGGACCCGCGCGAGCGCCCGCAGCCCGGGAGCCGGGAGGCAGGGCTCACAGGCCCCGCA